AATATCATGCACCGTTCCAGTTCTGAGAGGGTTTTATTTCCTGTTTTTTTTTTTTCCCCCTTCACTATGTAACAAGGTAAAATAAAATAGAAATCGTCCCAGAGGGCATTTAAAATAACATTTTAACTTACAATTTATTTTGACAACAAAGTAAATTGTAGTATTGTTATAGTGTAAGGGCCAAGTAAATATAAAAATATTCAAAATCAATAGCAAACCATGAAAAATAACTTCACGTGGCTATAAAGCTAAGGATTGTGGCTTTACATTAGATTTTTCACATTTTCAACATTCATCATTGGTTCCTGATTACTCAAAATTGAAAATAGCTCCAAGAGGCCAAGCGAGAATTTTCTGTATGTATGGTCTCAAAGAAAATTTCTTCAATTCGAACTAAGTTTTCCTGTCCTTATTTTGCCCTGGTGTCTAGAGACTGTACTAAATCACTTTGAGAGTATATAAACTCTCTACAGTTTAAGTTACCTTTGCTTATGATGCAGTTAAAAATTAAACAGCAAAACTCCATGCAAAATTAGATGTTTACATTTATTTAGCTTTATAATGGTATTATCCCTAAGATTTTCTGTAAGAGCCTAGAATGGCATGACTTCAAATTTCCATTCCAGAACTTCCCATTTCTAACTTTTCACCACAATACCCTGTGCAGTCACACTGCAATAGAAAATGAGATGATATTTGTATGTAACTAATCAAAAGAATTATTTGATTCCCAAAAAGATTGTTGTTAAAGAATGTACTGTAGATGCCACTGGGATTTTATTAAATAAAGTTATTTACTTTGGGGTGATAAAAAATCACAAAAGTTTTAAAAACATTTGCTCTGGGTCCTTGATTGGGGAGTTTTATCTTTATTTGAGGCATCCAAAACCTACCTATTATGTAAGTCAGCGTCAAGGTGGCTATTCAACCCAAGCTCACAGATGCCAACTCTCAGTAAAGCCTTTCTTGCCCAAGATAGGTTTGCCAGAAGTTAGACCAACCCAGGCCAAGGGGAGGTAGAAGCTATGAAAAAATGTAGTGTCTTGCTTCCAACTAAGGAGTCCACATTCTTCTATTCACACCAAAGAGTAAGTACGTAGTTGCCCAGACTCCAAGACGGCTGTACATCCCGGGAAAGTGTGCTAGAACTTCCAGCTCTGCCTCACATGCTTTTTCCTCTGCCCACTCACATAATTAGTGCTCCTTTCTTTTACTTTTAAAAAATGTGCCTGTTTCAAATTTGTATTATTTTTTTCAGATGTCTAATTGCAGTTATGCTCCGTCCCTCTTTGGTCTCTTCCCGCATTTCACATACCAGACAAATATTTAAAGGTCTGTGAAACCAGGCGAGGTTCCAAACTATTTCTAAATGAAACCGCCATAGGTGACAGAACAGGGAAAGAAGGCAAAGCCGGAGGGCAAAGAGTGGAATAAACTGGCTGGAAATGTATTGGAAAATCTGTTTAAGTTGCTATAGCTGTGGATGAGGTTTCAATGAGGCATAAACATTCAAGTTACTGACAAAACCAACATGTTTCATGATCACTCAAAATAGTCTACTGGTCATGGTACATGGCTTTTTTTTTTTTTTAATATATTAGTAAGTTGCTCTCTCTTTTTAAAAGTTGTTTCTTTTTTAGTATTCAGGAAGTGGAAACATTTAAGAAAACATTCCAAAATTCTGAGAATACATGTAAGTGAAATATTTAATGTCTGTCATTCATAAAAGTTACATCATTTACATAGGGTTCATTTGTATATAATAAAAATTTCATCAGCATGAAAAATTTTCTGGAAAGCATTTTCTATGTTAATTTGTTTAACATATGCTTTGGATACACAGCTAAATAGGAATAGTTAAAAAAATCTTTCTTCAAATATTCCCTATAACAATTAAAAAAAAAACCTCATTCCTAACTATTTGTTGTTCTTCCCATTTTTTCTTTTGTTTGTAATAATATGTAAAGACAGGATCTTTCCATAGTTCAGAATATATTTGTACACTTCATTAAGTCTGTTCATTGCATAGCAAACATGTAAACTCATAGAGGAGTTAGAAATCTTACCCTAATAATCTAAAAAAGTTGCTGAAATTTTATACCATAGTATATTCTGAGGCCTACTTTTGTTGTAATTTGGGTTTATTTCGTTTTTTTATGTTTAATACATGTGTCAGTTGGCTACAACGAATGAAAATAAGTCACGAAAAGTTAAAAACCAAGTCAGTTATTTTATCCTCCACTACCAAAATGTAACTTCATTCTAATGGTTGGATTTTTTCACAACAAATTGCAAATATACTGTGCTGCCTTTGTAAGACAGGGTCCAAAATTAATTTCAACCGTGTATTTAACATAAAGTTAACTATATTTGCATCAAATAAAATGTTTATTCATGAAAGCTATTTATCATACAAGAAACAGCAAAGATAAGTCATCATACAGAGATGTACACTAGAGGTGACAGATGTAAACGTGCATGCAGAGACTTCTGTTTAAAAAGGAAGTAATAAACAATACTAAAATTACTGGGTTTGATCCCTATACTCTTAAACAAATGGTAGCTTTTCTTTGAATTCACAATTTGAAAATGCCATTAACAGGACTAATACACATTAGCAAGCGGGTGAAATGAATGTTTTTTGGACTTTATTTTACAACTATTTGTGCTTGACAAATGTGTGGATTTTTTTTTTCAGTAATAATTTTCTTCCAATATGGGGTGGGCATATTACTGCCAGGTTGCTCTGGTTTATACAAGGTGTATCTCCTTTTGTTTTAAACCACATAATTTTAAGCCTTCATTTGTGTTAGATACCATAAAGAACACAAGCTCTGTTAACATTCAGTGAATGACGTTTGTCTCTCTCTCTCTCTCTTTCTCTCTCTCTCTCTCTTTTTTGGCTCAATAAATTTTTAAATGTGTGATTATCATAACCTAATAGTGTCTTTGTCTTCACTGCAGTGGATTTCCGATCAAACTTTTCCCCTTCTTTTAATACTTTAGGGAATTTTCAAACGTCGGGATGTTTGGCTGTAATGCCCCAAGATTTGTTCTCCCTGAAAAAAATCATAGTGACAATTTATTAACTACAGAGCAACTTGGCTTTTAGGGGTCTGCAATTTCTATTTAGATTTACAAATATCCATTTGTGCTCAATTAAATCTTACTCATATTTAAGATTTCTTTTCATGCAATTACGTTAGCTGCTGATTATCTGCTTTTATTCTAAAAATTAGATGGAGGCAAATCAGTGGGGCATTACTTTTATTAGAAGCAAATATATTTAAAGGTAATTCTAGGTTGAATTACGGCATGTGCAACTGTGTGTACCTTTAATATGAGTCAAAAGTTTGAAAATCTAAAAACTACTTGTATGTTGAAATTTTTTTTTTAATTTTGTATTTGCCATTTTAATAGCCTTTACATATAGATATTGGAAACACACTAGTACAGTTAAAACTTAAATAAAACTGGTGGGAAATAAAACTCCTTAGATTCAAAATGGTTTATTCACACAAATTTAATAGGATATATCACAATTGTTTGGTCCATAAATATTTAGGGGAAATAGTTTCTATACAATGCATTTATCAATAAACAAAGAAACATGGACAATTTTGCTAGACCACTTACTGTACTATAAACACGAAGCTCAATATATAAGATTATTGAATTTATCAACTATATTTGAAAGAGTGCACAACTGCTTTCTATGACATGTTTGTCCCCTCTAACAGGATACACCATAAAAAGAGTTTCAGAAATAAGAGGTAAAACAGTACAAAACTAGTGAGGTGTCAAAAGGGCTTAAAACAGTTAATTTAACAAACAACACATATATCCTGATTTTTCACAAACTTACTTCCAAGTTATAAGGCACATAGGAGAACTGAGTTATAATTAGTCTACTTAATAAAGTAGATCTATAGTACCATATATTGTTCTGTCAAAGAACAAAATTTATAAGTGTCAATATTTTACCTGTAAAACTGTATTAATAAGATCTCAGCCTTACCAAGGTTGTTTGGTCTGGTTAGTGGTAAATGCCCAAAATGTAATAGAAATATGAAAAGTCAAGATTTAAGCTCCATATAAGATGATAACCACACTTGCTAAATATATAATGGCAATCACACCTTTCTTCTGTTACAGTGTTAACTTATCTTCCATCATCTTTTTTTTTTTAAAAAATAAGCTACTTTCTGTGCTAGTTTTCTAAAGACCCTGAGCAAAAGTTACAATAATGCACTTTAATGTGGGCAGTGAACTGTCAATATGTAACCACACATTTATACAGCCAGAAGGACACCTTTAAAATCTATTAAATAGCCACTTAGACCACCAGAGGAGATTTAAGGGGTCCGAAAAGTGGAGAATATGTGCAAAGTTATTCTTAACAATCCACTAAAGCAAGACATAGATCTTGACTTCTTTTTTATTTTGTTTAGGAAATCCACAATCTAATTGGTATTTAACTACAACAGAAGCATATAGATGAACATTCACCACTGCCCAGACCATTAAGATTTTAGCTTAAATTAAAGGAAAAAAAAATGCTACTGTAAACTAGGAAATATATTCAGATCAGCATCCACAAGGCTTCTGAGTCTATCGACTTTAAGACTAATAACTTCAAATCTCTAATGTCAGAAAAGGGCTTTTTGACATACAAGCCAACCTGTGCCAAAACAAAATAAAAGAAGAGAAAACAAAAGAAGTCTCATTGTTGGTATTAGTCTATCAGGTTGTTTACTGAAAGACATTATTCATATAGAACGCCAGATACAATATCATGGTACAGCTGAAGCCAATTAATAGAGCTATCAATTAAATTATATTAATATTTTTGACTTCTTAAAAAATCATATTTTGCTTATTTCCATTTTCCCTGGGAAAAAAAAGTAATTTAGAAGGAATGGTTTCAGAGCTTTTTGAGTTATGGGATTTTTTTTTTTTTTTTTTTTTTTTTTTTTTTGCTTTAGAGGGGTAAAAGTATAGAATTTCAGATTCTATGTGGAATTTTCAAGGATACACAAGGAGTTTAAGTATATTCAAATGCTGAAAAAAATGACTAAGTAAAAAGTTTTAGGGGTTGTCCATCCCTAAGAGGAGGAAAAGTCACATTTCTGGAATACATTTTCCATCTAATTAATCAATACTATTTAAAATTGCTATAGTTAATGCTTTTGTTTAATCATATTCCTCATTTGATTTAACCATTCAGATAAGAAATGGAAATGTCCAAAAAAAAATTTTCAGTTTTAAGTTTTAAAAAATGTAATGTTTTCAAAGTTCCATAATCACCCATGCAATTTTAAGATTTTAAAAATAGCTCTTGAATTCATTATCTGGTTCTTTATTAACCTAATCATTGAACTGGGAATAAGCCCATAATAATACCACTCGTTCCGTTTTTTGTTTTTTTTTCTTCGAGATTCTGGAAATAAGTAACATACAATTTTAAGAGGCACTTATAAGAATGATTAAAAAAATTCCCCTTAGCGACTGAAAGACCTCATTAATTAAAGGGAAAAAAAATCTGAATACACTTTGTAGGCAAAATATATTCACTGAAAGGAGACAATACTGTAAACTCATTTGCCAAGTGGCTGCAGATGCTACACACCAAGCTGTTATTTTTATTCCCCAAATTTCTCGTGGGTTAGAAGGAAAAAAAAAAAGTTTTGTAAATAATAAAATAATAATAATTAGAATAATAATAAAAAGAAGAATTAAAAAAAAGAAAAACCAATGTTAGAAAAGGTTCGTTAAGGTAGTTTGTGAGGGGCTTCCGGATTCGTGGCTGTCCATGTTAGAGGTCACGGATGTCACTACAGTGATAGTGGGATTGGTCAGGTCTGTTAAAGTGGTCGCAGTGCCGGGTGGAGTGAGAGCGCCGCTGTCTGCTGAGGGCGGGGCCGGAAGCGATGTGCCATCAGCTTTATCAACACCCCCATTCTCCTGCCGCAAAAGGTTCCTTCTGAATTTGGCTCGTGCGTTTTGGAACCAAACCTGCAAACCAATCCCAATTGATTTCTTTACCGATGTTCATTTTTATATTTCTTTTCTTTCTCTCTCTCTCTTTGTTCATTTGCTTTCTTTTCTTTTTCTTTCTTTCTTTTTTTTTTTTTTTGGATATATGTTTCTCCTTTTAAATATACTTGTTTATTTTTCTTGGTGGGAGGGAAAGGGATTTTTTTTCTTCTCTTTCGAAAGCAGAATAATTCAAGTCACACTACAAATTTATTTTCTCTCAGCTGCACGTATTCCACCCCCTAGTATTAGCAAGTGCCACTTGAAACAATGATGTTTAAGTGGATATACCATGGAAATGAAGGCACAGGGATAAAGAGGAGGGAAATATACCCTCATGCCTCAGCTGTTTTTTCAAGAGGAAGAGAAGAGAAGCAGGCCCATTGAAATGATGGCAAGGTAAGAATCACTCGTGAAGTGAATGTCATTCAAACAAACGTCAAGCTACTGACACATGGAAGCTTTCTGAACATAGAAAAAACTCTCTCTTAGAGCCACAAACCTCGAACAGACTAAAACTGCTTAGCAGCATTTAATATGCCTGCTATTTGCCATTCAGAAGTTGGAGAAGAGATCACATGTGACTTACAGCAACCCATTATTATTTCATTAGTTGTATATTCTTAGCATGAGGAGCTTAAGAAAGCAATTGGACAGCAGAACTAACTTTCAGCATTTAGTTTTTAATTACAGTTTTTTAAGGTGGGAAGATACTTGACTTGCTCCAGTTGGTTGCTGAAACACTAACCATACTTCTAGGAGTTGGCAAAAAAAGGATCCGTCTGAATTTGCAAAGTCATAGCATGTGAGAGACGTTGCTAAGAGTTTACTGAAGTAAGACAGTGCTAACAGGTTCCTTATAAGTCTGTGCACTGAGCTCAATGTGAATGGAAATCTGCAGAGCCACAGCTTGTGCAAATAATATCACTTTCATTTGTATACTAGTAAAGCAAGTTGGACTGGCTTTGAAGGACCCATCTCCCCATCTGTGCAGAGAAAGTGGCTGTATTTAAAATGAGTCAGGGTCTGTTTGAGCACCCTCCAGGAAGGCCTTGCAAAATCTCAGTATACCCTCTAGGGAGGTAACTAAGATAAACTAAAAAGAAGTAGCACAGGAAATATCCATATCACTCTAATTAGGGAAGAGAGCTATTTTCACTGGCAAGGGGAAGGGCAATGTATGAACAGTCAAAAAGAAAGGCATCTTACCTGCAAAACTCTTTTGGTCAGGCCTGTTTTCTGGGCAAGCTGCTTGAGGTCCTTGGCATCCGGGTTGTGGTTGATGGCAAAGTAGGATTTCATGGTCCGGAGCTGGTGGTGCTTGAAGGAGGTTCGCATGCGTTTGGTCTTTTGAGAGGGTGGATAAGGCTGCTGGTCCCGGTCCAAGTGGTCTGCCTCATTTTCATTACAACCTGTTGTAATAACAGTGAGCAAATGACTACTCAGTGGAAATGTCCCCATTAGCTAAAATCATGGCAGCTGTATGATACCACTCTGATAGTAGACAGCAGTATCACTAGTGAAAAAGGCTGTCAACCAAGTTATGAGTAGTATCTAGACAAAAAGAAGGAATTACCAAAGTGAGCCAAATGAGTCTGATACCACTTATGTTTATGTAACACAGAAATATTAATTAAATCTTCTCTTTCACGGAAGGGTTGCTAGAAAAACATTTAGAAGTTAAACAAACCCTAAGTAGTGATGTGGGAGTATGAGAGACCTCCAAGAGGGAAGAAAAGAAACTCTTTTGTGATATAGAAATATTAGACACCCTTTTCCGTATGTGCGTCAGCGCCCCACTGCCCACATTCACAGTTTTTGAAACTCTACATTTTTTTCTGTATTTCTGGAATGAGACACAGAATCTGAAGGCACTTCCTTTTCATCACCAGGGATGTGGCACGCAAGGATTTCAGCTCTCTCCAGTCTGAAAGTTTCTGAGAGCCTCCCAACTAAGAAGAATCTAAATCAGTTCCCAATCTGACCCTCATTCCTAGAGCTTTTGCAATGAAGGGAAAGTTAGAAAGTGGCTGCAGAAGGGACAGAAGTCAAAAATGAAGAATTTGCAAATTTCTTTTGTAAACCCAAGGATTTTATTTTTCAGGGCTTGTAGCTATAACTGGTTGACACAGGGTGATACCAGAAAGAAAATATTTTTCCCCCTGGAGTTATTTTAATAAATATTTCTAAAAGAGAATGAGCCCAGACTTCTCTTCACTTGGTTTATGCCTGAAGCGCTCCTCACAGCTCCCAGTTAAGAGGCACTGATGGTGCTTATTTCTAGGCTCAGATCTTAGTCCCTATTGCTCTAGATGTTTGTGAATGGGAAATGGGCTGTGCCTATGGCTGGCCTGGCAGAGGGAGGGTGGCATTTTTCTCTCTCCTTGCAAAGCCTTTCTCAGCAGCAAGGGCAAAACAATCCCCATCTTTGAAACCAGCCAGAGACTCATCCCCAAGTTGTAAAGCTGCATACTGAGAAGATCATTTCCAATATTCTCCTGGATCAGCGTAGGAAATATAATTATAAATGAAAATACTGTTCTAAATATTTACTGATTCAGCCTGCTTGTCAAATTAAAGGGCATGTCAATTGTTTTCTTTAGATCCTTTCTTCAGATAGTTACCGGATGTATATTCAGGTCTGATCATCCTGCATTTCAATTTATTATATAATAGAAGATCTAAAATCAACCTGATCATGTCATTTGAGGGAGAAAAAAACCTGAATATTAAAAATGATTAGGCATCCCTTAATATGAGCTCTTCGTTTCTGCTTGGTGACATAGTATCCGCCTGCTGCGCTCTGGTTAGAATTACTTTCTAAAATACATTCAGCAAATCAGCACATTTACAGAAACAGAAGCTTTAGAGTCAGTAACCAAGAGGTCGGCCACATACAAAATTCATTTAACAGGAAATTCCTCCTAATGTAACAAGACCAGGAATGAACTAATGTCTCCTTTGTTTGTATTTCCATAAGACACATAGTAGGAGATCATACTTTGTGAAAGAGGACGTAAGTTAATTGACAGAAAAGACTGTATCGGCTCGGTGCCTGTGGCTCAAGCGGCTAAGGCGCCAGCCACATACACCTAAGGTGGCAGGTTCGAATCCCCAGCCCGGGCCCGCCAAACAACAATGATGGCTGCAACCAAAAAATGGCCAGGCGTTGTGGCGGGCGCCTGTGGCCCCAGCTACTTGGGGGGCTGAGGCAGGAGACTCGCTTGAGCCCAGGAGTTGGAGGTTGCTGTGAGCGTGATGCCATGGCACTCTACCCAGGGGAATAGCTTGAGGCTCCATCTCAAAAAAAAAAAAAAAAAAAAGACTGTATCATATTCACCTTTGGATCCCCTGAGTTAAGTACATGGTCAGGATCTCAAGAATCATTCAATCAAAATCTTGAATCCTTTGTTCATCAGTAAAATTACAAATGAATATTGATACCAAATTAAGTCAATTTGAAGTGGAATCCAAGTCAGAGGTATACATTCAAATATTGAACTTCAGGCTTCTTAAATTCTACCAGAAAAAGTAACCACATACCCAGAAATAACATAAAGTATACTTTACATCTTGTCCTATTTCAACCCAGTGGGGAGATGTCAAGTTCAAATATTCTACAGAATTGCACTTTCATATCCTCAAATGGATGAAATGACATCTCTATGACCTACTATAAAACTATCCTTATCCAATAAACTGAGCCATATTTCAGACTCAGATTATAAACACACCCACTACAAAATGGTCCAAGAGGCCCACATTAGTCTCAAAGGCTTCTTCAAGTAAAATTTCATTCCTATCATACGTGAGTAACATGTAACTTCTCCTGAACAACACATCAAATTGAATATTACACTTAGGATAGAAGACTTAAATAATGTCCTTAGACACCCGCCCCTCCCCAAGGTTATATTTTTAGAAATGACTATGATTCCAAACTGAACTATGTAATCATTAATTCTTAAAAATGAAGTTTATGAAAAATAATCATAGTACTATCTGATGGAAATGAAATTGCCTCCCTGAATATTCAGTCTATATCCATTGTTGCTGATCAAAAACTCAGCAGAGCATTTTAGTGTGTTAAATATAATTATTAGCCTCATTTCCACATAAAATATACAATTCAATATGTAAACAGATTTTCAGATCTTTATTAAATTGATATTGCTGTAAATGATTTTCCTGTGACCATGTTATCACATATTATGCAACTTAATAGAGAAATGTATTTCTTCTGCAGATTAGCTCAGTGCACGATCCTAAATTATTTACATTTAACTATAAATAATGTAAACCTGCAAATTATCGTGTTTCCTTAAGGTCTATTTCTAAAATTTAAGGGTCTTCCCACCCCCACCACCAAATTATGAGATGAAATGATAACTCTTAAAACTGTCTTAAACATCTACCTGGATGTGTAAGTACACATCCAGTATTGTAATATTAATACAAAGATCTACATACATAGCATTTTATTTTCAATCATATATGACATGGTCACCTATATCCTAAAGAGAGTCTGTGTTCTCAAAGTGTCCAACCTTCTGAGAATTAACTGATCCATGGAAGACCACTAGGGGTCAGTGCCAGGCTAATTTAACAACCAGGAGCCTTAAAAGCTTGAATGGGAAGAAAGAAATCTAAGGAAAGGAGATGTTGAGAAGTGGGAAAAGTTTGGTCTCTCAATTAATGTTAAATTACCCAAACAGGAGCTATGTATCCCGAACTAAAATTTTTCACCTTTGTGGGATCTTACTTCAATGCACCATTTCAGATAAACTTTCTATGGCTTTTTCTAAAATATCTGCCTGATTAATTTTTACAGAGGCATAAACTAAATTAAGAACAGTCTCATGAAAAGGCCTTTGCCTTATGTCCAGAACTAACTGAACTTTGCCAAGTTGCACATCTTCTCTGAGAGTGTTTAAATCCTAGCATGACTTTTTTTGTGCATTTAGTAGCATATATGATATATATATATATAATAACTGTGAAATTTTACTTGATGTAGTACCAACATTACCCTTCATGAGACTTGTTTACATTTAAGCAGAGATAGCAATATAAAATCCAAAGAAGGCTAAAATAATATAAAATTATGGGTCCATTTGATTTTCTACATTTTAATGTATTTTTAATTTGCTGAAGGGCTTCTTTTCCTAGTTTTGTACCAAACTAACATTTAATTCATAGACACTGTTTTCAATGGTGGGCTGATTTCTGGTTAGGGAATTTTAAACCAATTCCTCTAGATTATTTTCACCTAATCTTTATAAAAACATATACCATTTACTCATATTTCTGGGGGAAGTCTAGAAAGGATGAACTAAGAGGCATCCAGTTTGTGGAGCTGTGACATACAGACTCTTGGGGTTAAGGATGACTTAACCATTTTTTCCTCCTTTGAGAGCAGGACAACATCAACTTTCTAAGTAGCTCAGAAAGAGATTTTCATTATTCTTAAGAAATCTTTACTCTCTAGTTCTCCTCAGAGAAGAGAAGCTAGATTCTACTGTTCTTAAGACTCCTTGGATCTTTCTAACATAAAGATCCAAGGCAAAATCAAATTTAGCTAAGTAGATTAAATAAACAAGCAAAAAGCCAGGATGGTCACCTTTTGGCTAGAAATCCCCACCCTTGTGGATTTCATCCTCGCTGAGAGATTCCCTCCCTCCAAAATCTCACTAGTTATGTATGTTTCATTCTCTCTCACACACACACATTAGGGCAGTAGGGCCCTGATGAGTAGCTCAAGATTCCGATGTCATCTTCTATTAATAAAGAACAATTAGTGCCCTGCTTGCCCTGCCCCTGGGACCACGCATCAAAGGAGATGAAGTCAGCATGCTGGGCAGGGTGGCCCCTAACCAAATCCCCTGCCCCAGCACAGCAGGGGGCAGGGGTGAGGGCGCAGCTCACTACTGAGGGTTGGCAAAACCCGATGCTGTGCCGCTGCCCTCACACAGACCAACCCGGTGGGGTCCAGAGTGAGCAGGCCAGTTCATTTCCTGTTGTCCAGCAACACTGATGTGAATCCCCTAGGGAACAACTTCAACAAGGCTGAGATCCACAGTTCCCAGTCTCCCTGTGACAGCTGCCCCTACCCAGAACCCCAGAAGAGAGATGAGGAGAGGTCTGGGGAGTGCCCACTCACCCTATGTGGCTTCCCTTGAAAGCTCTCAACTCAGAGGACTCTGAGTTCCACATGCACACTGGCTGTGTGACGTTGGGGGAATCACTTAACTGACTATTCCTTTACCATTGTTACGTCAGGTGTCATGCCAGACACGGGGGAATATCCCTGCTCTGGATGCTCATACTTGGTGTCTGGGGTGCTCAGGAGATTGGTCTCCCCTGTGAGTCTCCTACTTGCTGAGATTTCCAGCCAAGTCCAGGACAGAGCACTAAAAGAGCAGTCAAGGTCCTTACGCTCTCCAAAATTATCCAGAGTTTTCTTGAAACCCCCTTTTACAGTAGCTGGGATCACAAGAAGACCTCCTTCTGTCCTGGTCAGATGCATTTTCACTTGGCATCACAAATAAGTACCAATTAGCTAGTGCAGTTTTTTAAGCATCTTAAAAATTAAGCATCTTAGCTAGAGAGATTATGTCCTGATGGGCCTGTCACCATCATCAACTGGGGAATAGGAGGAGGGGGCAGACTACCAACAATGGGAAATTGATGCATGTGAGAGAGATTGATAAATGATAGCTGTGTCCCCAAAGCAAAAGAAAGTGTGCTCTTGGTGTGTGCTTGCATTTGGGTTTTAATTAAGAGAGAAGGTTGGTAGAGGACAGAAGAGCAGCCTGAGATCTCACTAAGCCTCTTCAGTGGGCCTGACCTGGAGGTTCTTTCAGTTGGCAGGGGTCTTGATGTCTGGATGGTCTATCACACAGAGAATGAACCTGCTGGATGAATACTCTGATTTGGGAAAGACCCAGGCCAGCTCAGCTGCCGAGAATGATTCCCACCCCTACAGCTGCTTTTCACCAAGATCAGGGATTAGATTTTTCAACACTCTTGCCAACTGTGTTCCTGATTAACTTCGGGCTGGTGACCACAGCCTCTGCCCCCTCTAGACAGACTGAAGTTGGGCTCTGAAGATTTTTTTCTTCGGTATTTAGGAAACCTCCTCCAGGATCTATAATTTGGCTTCCACAAAGGAATTGCCCTGGGGCTGTTTTGCTCCAACTGGGAGCCAGAAACTAATGGGCTCATTAACTAATGGGCAACAAGGATTTGGCTCAGCCTATTTGGGGGAAGTCAGCCCCCTAGTTACCAATGTGTTTTTTTGCCACAACCTAAAGAAAGCGTTGTCTCTGCCTCCCCCACTTCCCTCTTCCTCGGCCCCCTCCTCTCTTTCCTTCAGAGAGAGAAGGAGGGGGAGGCCAATGGGCAAAGCATTCTCTTGCAGCAAGAACTTGGATAGGGAAGGAGCTCTACGAACGAACGTGCCTCAGGGAAGCCGCAGGCTGGGGCTGAGCTGGGGAAAGGGTAGGGGGCCCACCTGAGTTGTAATTGACGATGTCCACTCCCAGTGCTGGGCTCTTCCGCTTCCGGGGCCGCCCCTTCTGCACCGTGCCGGTGCCGTTGAAGTAAGGCAGGGCCAAGCCGCCGCTCTTGGCCGCCAGCTCCGTGTAGCTCAGCTGCGGTGGGTACTCCCCTTGCAAGAGGGTCTCGAAGTGAGCGCGGCAGTACACCAGGCTGTCTTTCATGCCGAAATGGTCGCCTGTGGTCAGAGTCTTGTTGCAGGTGGAGCAGGTGAAGCAGCTCAGGTGGTAGACAGAGTCTCGGGCGCGCATGACCATCTCGGAGGCGGAGATGCCAAGGTGGCAGCGGGCACATCTCTGCACAGAGAACCTTCTGGAAGGAAACAGTTGAGTCAGGGCTCTGGCTGAAACGAGGCAGAGCCATGTCCCACCCGCGATAGCTGCACCTGTCTGCAGTAGCCCAAGACTAAGACCAGAGAGGGTTCCGGGAGGCCGGGATACTGGGCCCATTGTGGCATCAATTTTATTTGCTCATTGACCTGTTCTGGTGAACCAAGAGGGAAAAAAAAATTCCTTACATTAAAGTCAGAAGAACCTGGCAACTGGGCTTCAATTTTCTTCTCTGTAAAGTGAAGATTAAGGGGGAAAAAAACTGCACTAGCCAATTGGCACTTAATTGTGATGCCAAGTTACAACAATTACAAAATACTCTATGAATGAATGACGGTATTAGTCCTGAATGTGTGAGTGTGCGGGAAAGCTTCTGGACACGGCCGTAGAAAAAAAGGCAATTTCGTAGAGGAAAGTATATTCTTTTTTAACCATCTTTCTTGCTTAGGCTGAGAGTGGAGCTGGGTCACCTGGATGTAGTCCTGTCTTTCCCAGTCCAGAGACGTAACTGGGAAGAATCAAACGTGCTTGCCGCTGAGTTTTCTTTCTAGTCTGGCCGACACAGTTCTAACTAGCGGTAGAGGAACTCAGTATGCACCGGCTTCTGGTGTCCGCAGTGGCGTTTATTCCTTCTCATATTCATTTACAAGGCCTCCTGTCATCCGCGAAAACCCCTACACCGGGTTGCTGCTGCCCGGGTTACCGGTTCAGTTCTAAAGGGCGGAACTTGCCCAGTTCGTAGTAAGCGGAAAAAAAAAAAAAACCGATCAAGTCACGGTGGACGGAGACACATCCGTTTACCCTTCCGGGCATTTTCCCGGGTTCTACCAACCCAGCTGCGAGGTACTGGGAGCGTCGGGTGTTCACTAAAAAACGCTGTAGACCTAGGATGTCCTTCCCACCCACCCCTACTGCCGTTCCGGGCATTGCAGCTAAAAGGCGTATGCCCTGGACTTCCCTGTGGAAATGATAACGGTATCCCGAAGGGGCAAAAGGCGGGGCACTAAGAGGTGACTCCGGCTGGGTAGGGGGCCCCGCCAGGTGTTCCCGAGCGGAAGAAGTGGCGGGGCGGGGGAAGTACCTGTAGTAATCCTCCTTGCAGTAAATGCTACCGTCCTTGGCGAAGCAGGTGAGCTCGGACTCAAGGGCCAGCTTACATTCACAGCACTTGAGGCACCTCAGATGCCATTGTTTGTCCACGGCCAGCAGGTAGTACCTGTCGGAGATCTTGCCCCCGCAGCCGGCGCACAGAGCGGGCTTCTCGGGGCTGAGCGGGGGCATGCCCTGCAAAGCAAGCACACTGCACGGCTGAGTAGGGCGCGCGGCCGCACAACGCGGGCTTCCCCACCCTGGGCAGAGCGAGCCCAGTGCGTGCAGGGCGTGCAGCTGGGGCCAGGCGCCACAACGCAAACGCAAAGTCCGGAAAGTCAGGGCTGGGTGGCAGGGGGGGCGTTTGTAATTTCCCGGTTTGCAGCTTGTTCGCTTTCTTCTCTGCCTGAACCCGCATTCCCGTCCTCCCAGGACTATTAACCTACAGACATCCCAACCGTCCTGAGCCTTCCTGTCTTAAAAAGGACTGGGAGCGGAGCGTATTGACTATAGTTTGTTGAGGGTTCAGAATTCAAACAATTACCAGCTAAAAGTTGTGGCTTTCAACCCACACAAAATAAAACAACGGCAATTACTGGGGAGTGGAAAGGAAATTTAAACTAGAACAAATTGTTTTTAAACAAACGGCATTAAAATTGTATTTATCTAAATTCTCATAAGCAGCGTTGAAATCAAAAGCAAAAGAGAGATTATTATACCTGTGCTCATAACTTAGTTGACATGGCTTTAATTAAGATATGTTTGGCATATCCTGCTGTTCCCTAATTTTCAAGGCCATTAGTCTTGTTCCCAGCAAGGGTCAAAAGTGGCTGTTCCCAAAGAGGCTCCGTTGTCCGGCCCCCTCTGTATAGTGCCTCTTATTCTGGCATCAGAACACGCACTGAGATCTTTGTCCTGAAAATCTGCTTAGTGCCCAAGCTGCCCGCCTGGGTCCCCACTGACACATCAGAAATGAATGGTACACCTTACTTTGACCAGCACAGTTCGAAATTCGGGTTTGGGTTGCTGCTTTTTATTTTTAAATAGGATCACCATATAAAGGGGGGCAGTTAACATTGGACATTTCCCTAAAGACTAGCAGAAATGGGTTGGACTTCCCACAAAACTTTGGCGGGCTTGAGTAAATATAGTCTGTTACTCTGACCAGGGGCTACAGTTCCTTTGTAAAGGTAGACATATCCACCCACTGGGCTACTTGGCAAGACCCAAAATACTGCTAACCGGGCTAGAGTAGTCTCTGGATTAGCCTCAATTGCGCTCCAGTTCCTGGTGTGATACCAAAGAATCTACAAATCAATTTAGCTGAAATCATTTCCGGAGACTTCTGTAGTATTCCCTCTCCTGATAGTAAGAAGGAAAGCGAAGCACTTAGATTACTAACTGGGTTTCTTCATTAAGAGAGATGACTTTTATTATTACAAACAGAAATAACAGTAGTAGTTGATTAGATCTAAGCAGGGTTCCAAAGTTCTTGCGTTTGGTCTGGAGCCTCCGCACTCCTCCGCATTTTACATTTGATTCCCCCCTGCACATGACACCCGCCTGGCCCGGGAGCTAAACGCAGTACTGTCTCCAACAGATACTGAACCAGAATGCCAGGGACTCTGAACATTTCTGGACAGGAGGTGCCCAGCCAGGAGCCTCCGGAGAATTGGAGGCCTCCCAGCGCGTCTCCTCTAAAAGTCAGGTCATGGGCCCAGAGACTCAACCCACCCCGGCTCCTGCTTGGCCTGGAAGCCTCAGAGGTGTGCAGTTCTTCTATTACTTGAGCCCAGCTTGCCCTCGGGGCTGCGGATCCCGGAAGCATCCCAGAACCAAAGGAGACAGGAGACTAGAGTTTTGGGGGTTTGTAGAGGACAGCCCCTCCCTCCCACCCTCGGCTCGCCCCGCTCGCTCGGGAACAGCTACGATAAAGGCGAGCAAACTCAGATCTGGGTAGTGCAGACAATTCAAGTCAGAAAGAGGTTTGCTTCTTAGCCTCGCAGATCTGGGCGACCCGGAGAAAACCCACCCTCCAACCTTAAGTGGACGTCCCCGCGACCCGCCGTCCCCAACTCCTGCTGGCCCAGGATTGGAGACTCTGCTTACGAAGCGCGCAGGGGCGCCCGGCTGCCGCCGCAGCCGAGCCCTTCCTTACCGCGTCGCGGCCGTTGAGCTGAGCGCCTTTGGCCAGACGGGCCTCCGTCTTGGATCTGCGCTCCATCTCCTCCATGATGCCTTGGATGTGGCCTCCAGAGATCCCGTGGAAGAGCATGGCTGAGGGGCGGAAAGGACACGAGTTGTCTTCTGCTCGGCACCCCACTATTTCCATATACACACGCCCGGGGCTCTCAGCTCATCCGAGTGAAGTAGCAAAGGGACTGCAGAGGGCTGCGCGGTGGAGGAGCGCAGAGACGCCCGGGGACACAGGGCAAGATGGACAGAGAAGAAAGAAGCGGAGTGGAAATCGGTCTGCTGGGCGGGGGGGCGGTTTACAAAGAGGGGGAGGAGGGAAATAAAGCCCCTGCGGCTCCCTAAAGGAGATGTGCGGAAAACAAACACGGGCGGAGGGGAAAGAAGCGAATCTTACTGCTCCGGGAGATCGAGTTACTAATGGGAAACAACTGCAGCGGGGGGAGGAAAACAAAATCTGGCGAAGAAAGAAAATAGTTTTGAACACAAAGAAAGAAAAAGAAGTGCTATTTTCAGTGGTCCCTGGCTGCTTGCAAGTTCCCAGTGCCTGTAGGTTGGGTTGGGGACTGCTCCTGCCTGAGCTGTGTCCAATTTGTTAAGAGACTAAAGCCAGCCCATTTTTGATAATTTAGTAGGAGGAGTTCTCTCCCCGGAGCTGCCACGGATTTTTATTCAGACAACAAAGACCTGTCATACTCCTCTCAACCCCCTGGTGATGGGCAAGCAGGGACAAACATTACAAAGGGGTGGGGGGAATAGAGAAGGGGGAGGCGGTAGGAGGAGGGGGCATTTACCTCGCGACAAACACACACACACACACACACACACACAACCACACATCCTTCCAAGAGGTCTCGGCAGTCACGTTTTAAAAGGGGAAAAGAGCCCTCATTGTCCCCGCCCTGGCGCTGGAGGCCTACAGCTGGCCTATTTGATCTGAGTTCAAGATCAGAACCCGGTCCAGGGCACACAGAATCTCGGCTCCAAACTTCGGGTTTCCTCCTGGTGGGCTTTTTCATCCCCAGCCTACAGAACCGTCACCTGAAATACCTAAATGTTGAGGAGAAATTTAAGCTCAAGTGGAGATAATACTTATCCCCCCACCACCACCCATCTTCTCCACCCCTCTTTTTAAAGCATCTGACAGTTCATCTCTACCTCACTTCCCTGAGAGCCCAGGACTCTACCAGGCTCTGAAGCTTCTTCCAAGGTGGAAAGAGCATGTGGAGCACCTATATTTCTGAGGGTTACTTTTTGAAAAAAGATTTTCTTTGAGAAAATTAGAGTGTAAGGGACAGGGTATGGATTTGTACCTGTGGGTATGCAAACTGAACCTTTACTATAAGGTGGTTTATTTGTACCCAACTCAGGTACAAATAAACCACCTTATAGGAAAACTGCTGTAGATTCTAAAATCCCATTTAAAACTTGTCAATGTGGGCAGTGACTTAGGGACTCCCCAGAACTTGGCGTCTGCCCCCACTCCCCAGACTAGGCACTGGCCCTATTTGCATGTTGCTCCCACTACCCTCGTAGGACAGAAGACTTGTAAAACTGGACACACTTGCACACTTAGAAGGGTGGGAAAGGGGCACCTTGCTGTGGAGGAGGAGAAGGTGAGAACTGACAAGCAGAAGGGCCGACCTGCTCCTCACAAGAGGTGGGATTGTTTTGTCACCCTCTGTTCTTGTTAGGGGCAGCCCCACCCCAGCCCCATTAAAAAGTGTCCACAATCCTCTGATATTGTCAATTCATTCAAATAGTCAGAGGCCCCCAAATGGGGCTCAGCCTCAGGCACCAACCGGCTTTACTCCGGAGGAGGAAGCCCCGGGCGGCTCCCTGCTCCTTTGGTCCTTGCCAGCCTGTGCTTCCCACCACTCCCCGCAGGCTTTCCCAGGAACCACGATGCCTCTGTCCGGCAACAACCCAGATACCTTGGAGGAGCTGCTGGGCAGAAGACAGACTTCCTGCCCAGGGGAGCTGGACATGGACCTGTGGCCAAACCTAGATGATGAAGGGAGAGGAGTAAGGGAGGAATAGAAGGAGAAAGGAAGGAGGGAGAGAATGAGAATGAGAGGGGGAGGAGGAAAGGAAGAAAAGAAATGAAAGGGGAGGAGAAGGAAGACAGGCAGGAATGGAAGGAGGGAGGAAACGACCCCGGTGCAGCAGCCTGACTTCCTGTCCCAGAGCATCGCCTTCGGAGGCTGCTGCGAGTCGCCACTTCCATGAAACCCAAGATTACACTGTTTCCCTTCCTTTTTTCTCAGGGTCAAAAATAATGTTATTTGCAGACTGGACGCTGTTAAGGTCCTCCGGGTGCCAGAATAAAGCTCATAAAACACAATTTCACACAAAAATGAAGCCAATCAAGTGAACTAAGCTGGAGATTCCCCACACACACTTTGGCAGCCCTACCTGACAGCAGGGCTGCTATTTACTGTAAGTAATGTAATTAGCCCCTTTGGACGGAAATCAATGAGCTTTTCAAACCCACGTGCATACAAGAAGAGCCCTCAGGAGGGGCTGGGGACAGCCGTCTTTTCAGAGACAGCAGGTCCTCTCACAAAGGGGCAGATTGCACTCACACAAGTCAGCGGCTAAAGTGACTCAAAGCCGAGGAAGAGGAGAAGGAGGAGGGGTTTCTGAGAACATCAGTTAAGAAAGCTCTAAACAGAAAGTAAATACAGGACCTTAACCCACTTTGCCTAGTTTCTGCACTAAATCCTCCCCTCTACACCAAATGGGGGTGTTTGGAATTAGGTTTCCTTGTTGTTGGATTTTGGTCCAGCTCAGCAAAAACAACAAAGAACCCAAGAACACCACTCCCTCCTTGCAAGAGATAAAACTTAGGAGGCTATGTGAAGGGAAAATTTAACAAGTAACTCCAGGAAAAAGCCAGAACAGTTGTGAAGTCTCCAGGGAAGCCAGGCACAGAGGCCTTGTAAGCCCTCCAATCATTCATTCACTCATTTATTCCACACATATTAGTTAATCATCTACCAGCTACAAGCAGGACAGAGCATTTTCTGCAATCAGCTTGGGAGTTGAATCCTAGCTATGCCTGCTCTTTCTTATAAAACTCAGGTTATAAGTTTCTGCACCCAGTGGCATTTGCTACTTCCACTATTTCCAGGTTTCTTCCTTCTCAGCCAATGCAGGAAGTCTGTGGAAAGCTGAAGGTGGGGCCAGGGCCTGCTGGAATTTAGAAGGCCCTTGTTAGTTCTGCAGAAATAACTCTCCATCCTCTCAGCTCTCCCTCCTCCCATAGTTTCTATAAAGAAGCCCCCAAGAATTGGGTATGTGACTTGTGGTGTTCTAAACGTTTGGTTTTGGAGCCCTGACACGTTGCCTAAGAGGTCACCCACCCCAAATTCTCAAAGGACTTTAAATAAGCACTGTATATAAGGAGAGTGTCTTTTAGCTCTGCCTCCTTTCACCTCTCTAGCAGAGAGACTGGAACCTGGTGGCCATGGACAAAAAAAAAAAACCACTTCCAATCTCCATGCTTGGGGCTGAATGACCTACAAGTGTTCTATAAAAGTTGGAGGGTTCTCTTTTTCAGTTCCTGCAGCTGAGCCCCCACCTTGCTCAATGGGCAGGTGCACAGGTTCACTCCCACCTGTATCCAGGAGTAGATTTTAAGTCTCCTCTCAAATTCAAAGCTCTACTAGGACTAATGGGATAGATCCCTGGACTAGGGTTGCCCTTTCTCACAACTGAGCACAAACAATCCACTAAGCTCACTCTCCTTTCTTTCCAACAGCACCCACCCTTTACAGCTATTGCTTTCAGGAAAGCAGGTGGCTGGACTTCAGCAGTGCAGAGGAATTAGAATTGAGAGTTCTGGATCCTAGAAGCTCCATGAAGGTCAACAAAACAGCAGTGCCCCTGTGCCCTGCTCAGGAAGGCCCATTGGGACAAAGGGACAGGGCCCAGTCAAACTCCCCA